TATATTTTGTTTTATATTGTTAGTTGGAAAATACCTAGTACTACTACCTACCTATAATCACTAAACAAAAAAGCAGCATTAAAATACATGACTGGCTAAAAACTACTGTTCTACTGACTAAAGAGAAGTAGAAACAATAAAAACAATGGTACTTAATAACGGCTACTACACGATCAACATAATAACACAAAAACAAAATTATCCTATAAAAACAGACACAAATTGAACCACATTCACATACATACGGAAAGAAACGTACAAACTAGCAAAGCTATCAATCAAATTAGAATAATACAGCACTGAAGATCACGAGATTACTATCTGGAAAACTACAAACCATCTATAAAACTCACTTGAGAGAAATGGCATATACAGTAGCACTGGCTAAAGACAAATGGGAAAATGAGCTAAAAACCATAAAGCACGATTAAGTGTTAAGCAATAAAAATAAAAGAACCGTGTTGTTCATAAAAATAGGACACAAAAATAGTCACACCTAGGCCATATACTTACTACTACCTTGATAATATTTTTGGGAGGCAGTCTGGAAATTTTATCTTTCCTTTTGAGTTCTCTTTTGTGATTATGGACTTACAAAGGAACGGACTTAGCCACAGTGTAATTATCATTACATCGATAGGCTAATTTTTTAGAGGTGATCTGAAACTTGGCCCTTTTTTCGACGGGTTTTTGTTGGGAGAACATAATTTTTGTTCGCTTTAGCATCGTGGAGCGATTTGCATGTCGTAGATTTTCTCTTGTAAGGAGTGATAATTGTCATTTTCAGATTTTTCTTTTACTTATAATATAAGACTTAATTTTTCCACTTATACGGGAAAACCCTTATAATTTTGATGGTAAGGCTCCTAAATAAGTAAGTCATCTCCATTATTTCCTTTCTCGATATTACATGTTTCCTATTTGAAGGTAGTTGTAATGTTACACCAATTGAAAAATGATTTTCCGGTGTTTTGGTGAATTTTCTGTCAAACTAACATAATTAGTAACTATCTACTAGTAAAACTATCATAAAATAACTTCATTGAAACTGAAATGAAATTCTGAACTCGTCGATCTTAATTTAGTTTACATGAAAATAATATGTTTTAATTAATATAACCATAAAATACATATAGTTTGTTTTTTACTTTGAATAAGAAATATGCGAACAGCATCAAGTGTATAAAAGAAAAAGTAAATTGTAAAATGCGACGGCAATAGTGTTTTAATGTTTTCCATTTATTTTCAAAAAAATTTCTTTACATTCGCTTCCTAAAACTGAAGATATTCAATGTCAGAATACCGTATACACAATGTTTGACGACGCGAATGTTTTTTAAAAATGTGTAACTCTTATAAATAGGCTACTTTTTTTATTGTATCATAAATTATTTCTGATGTCTGTCTACACGCACTGCTGATAAAAAGTTCCAGAGTCGGTTGAATGTGTTAAAAACAATTCATAAAACACCTCAAGGCGTAAGCAATGGTAATATATTCTCACGATGCGGGTGGAACAGGCGCATTGTAAATTGTTTGAATCTTTATAAGATGTTACTTTTATTCGGATTCTGATGCGGGTATGCTTTTTTCTAGAAGGCATGGCATCATCTTATTACGCGGTGAGACATTTCGGTACTCTCATACATTTCCTACCGGCTATATTTGCCTTTTTCTCTCGTGACTTGTCCGAATTTACTTTCGATATTCGATTTAAAAGGTCAGCGAATGACAAGGAAAGTGAACGTGAACGCAGCACATAGAACCAGGAAAAATAAAGCTAATTTAATTAATTATACACATGTAGGTAAAGAGAGAGGGAGATAAATATATATACGTAGACGAACTTCAAATAACCACTATTACTCCTCAAATGTTTACTGATCCAGCATTCAAATAATAACTTTTTTCAATAGATAACTAATTAAATTAAACTCAATATTCGTTAACATTAAAATATATGTCTTCCTTATGGGTCTGCTAAACGAACGCCCAGGTTATTTTGTTCTACACAAAATCATTATACAATACAAAAATCAACTGATTGATTGTGTAAAATAAAATATTTGCGATTCTACTGATGTTCTTTAACATGATTATAAAATGATATAGCTGTCACTGTGAGGAAATTAAAATTGATATACGATAGGATCATTTGCATACCGCTGAATCCTTCTAACGTTTCAAGCTTCTTCCGTCATGGAAGTAAATTCGATTTGAAGTAGGAAAAACGATCCTCACGCGAAATCCAATTGCCGTATTCCAGTAGGTCGAATCCTTCTAACAATCGGCCTCACTTTAGCGAGTAATATCCATTTGAATTTTATAAGCACCCACGTTAAATATTACTTTATATTAATAATACTTAAAAATGGTATGAATATGAGATTTGAAACTAAATCGTTTCGTAAACCAAAAAATTTCAATATAGTTTAAATAGTTAAACAACGAATTAAATTATTTATGTTTTTTTACTATCAAAAATAGAAACGAACTAGAGTCTATACGCCTTCCTTAAAAATATTTCATTTTTGCCCGCTTTCACTTAAATACAAAACCTTTTATTCATTAAATACATTCAGTAAACTACAGGGCAAATTTTTACAAATGGATTTTAAGAAATATGTAAATCCACGGATGCGCAACGGTCAAACGTTTTATTTGAGAAAAATTTGTATAGAGAAATATTTTAATTTTAGGCAAATTAAAATTGATATAAAAATCGAGTACATTTTTTTATTAAACTTAAACAAATCAATAATAATGATGTATAATAAGATAAATAGAAAGAAAGAGAGAGACGTAGGTAGATAGGTAGAGATAGATAGATAGATAGAGATAGATAGATAGAGAGAGATTGAGTGAGAGGTAGCGAGAGGGGGGAGGAAGAGAGAGAGAGAGAGAGAGAAAGAGAGAGAGAAAGAGAAAATATATAGTTAGATAGGTAGAAAGAATGAAAGAGAGAGAGAGAGAGAGACGAGAAAAGAGTAAGAGAAAAAAGAACGAGAAGAAGAATGTGAGCAAGAGAATATAAACTATAAAAATAAAGACAAGAGAAAATAAAAACATTTTAAACATAAAAGAGGAATAGAAACTAAGAAAAAGAGAGTATTTTTACAGCATTTGTACTTGTACATGTATTTGAATACAAAGAATGAAATAAAAATATATAAGAGCAGAGCCAGACATACTGACAGATAGATAAATAAATAGAGAGGGGGAAGTGAGAGAGAAAGAATGAGGGAGGGAGGGAGAGTGAAGTCGAAAAATAGGAAGAATTGGAGAATGAGAAAATGAGATCAAAAGTATTTAAAACTGCTAAGAAGAAAAACCCAAAGAAGCAGGAAAGAACGAAAGACAGACATATAACACAGCAAGAAATATTAAGCGGAACAATTCTTCGTTCTTTTTAGCATAAAATAAAGAAGAAAAGATATCGCCTGCTTACACCACTGTAACTTAAATTATATGCGTACGTAATGTTTTAGCCGTCTTTATATTTTATATTGTTCTGTTTGATTTTACCCTGCAATAAGTATTGCAAACCATTTTCTGTTTAATTGAAGTGGGAGTTTTTGGTTCATATTTCGTTTTATTAACGGAAAGCTTTCTTGTAAATAATGTTTGTACCTTGTATTTTGTAGTAATTTTATTAAATAACTACATGCCATCTTACACCTTTATTCAGTCGGTAAGTTTAAGTGTAAAACGACGAATATTCAAAATAACCCGATACGTTTGGTGGCTGTTTGAATTAAATTTAACTTCACTCTTTTAATTAACCACTTCATGTAACACATCCTGAGTTCAAATTACAGTTTCCATTTATGAACGCTAATTGACAGAATTCCGATTCCCCAGGCGGTTTGCGAATGAATACATTCGATCCGTGTTTCATTTTAAAAGGGGGAGCTATTTTGTCGTGGGGCACAGCCGTGAATGACAAGTAAGCACCTCGCCTTCCGGCTAACTGCACCGAGATCATTTTCTGCCTTTAGCAGTTTACGAGTTGCATGCGTAATAGCAGTGGCGCCTATTCTCCTGCCAAACCGCTTGAAACAATAAAGAACAGGCCGAAAATGGAAACCAACACCAACGATGACAGGGTGAATGCATAAACATATGTTTTTGGCAAAAACCAACGGTCAACGACTTACCGTTTCGCATTCTTTTCACTTGAATTTTCAAAAAGGGAAAATACTAGTCTTAAATACTAAGCATTCAAGTACAAAACATCTCTAATAAAGGCATAAATATTGAATAGGATTGACATCGAGCAATCAAAACGTCTTTGTTCAAAATGAAATAAATCAAATCAGAATTTGCTGATTTGATATGGTTCGTGAATCTCAAGCAGTTGCAAATTCTTATCCATGGATTAGGGAAATTTCTAACGATCGATATGAAAGGTGTCCTCGATATAAAATGATGCCGTTCTTCCAGAAAAAAAAAAGTAAGGAAATTTATTTCGTACATACTATAAACATCTATGTGAAGAGGGATTAAAATAATATCTCAAATCCTTAACTTTAAAAGTTAAAATACTAAATCTGTCCTTCGCAAGCATGATATGGCTGACAAGATTGCTTTCATGCCAAGCTTTTCTCATTTATTTATTCAAACGTAAATATTTTACACTTCATAATGTTCAACTGTGCAGAATTTTTTTTAACATCATGTCGAATGTTTTATAATCTATGGTGCTATTTTAAACTTTTCATGTGGTTTTTTTTTATATTTTTTTGTTTTATTATTACATTAAACGTTTTGGATGTTTTGGGTATGTACAGCTATCATAAGCATCTTCATATTTCATTAAATTTTTTGGATGATCGGTTTAAATTCCCAAAGCGTCGAAACCAATTTACCAATAAAACAAAAACAATATTCAAAAAATTATATGGAAGAAATGAAAAAACACAAATTATAAATAAAAAAGACAATAAGACTTTTAAAAAATCCATGTTATATAATAATTTGTTTTAATATTTCTGTTGCAGGATGACCAGTGTCATTCATTCAGATCGAAGACGTTTCGGAAACCCCGGCCGTGCCACTGCTGTCATGAATTGATAAAAAATGAAGGCAGCAGCTGTAGAGGTGAGCATTAATGTTGACTCAATTACTCTGTCACGTTAGACGAAAACGACATTCAGAAAATGGACGAGTCTTTCCTACCCGTCAACATTTTGTAAAGAACATTGTTGTCATAGTATTTTTATTATAGAACTGACAAGGCGGCGTAACAAACAAATTATTCGATGGGTCGTATTTCTATAATATTCTTTACAGACTTTTTCCGAATTTTCCTGAACAAAAATCTAGCTTTTTTTAAATTCCACTCAAACAAGATAAACAAAAACTTTATCAACATTTTTAAATTAAATTCTGATTTTGTTTACCCAAGTGACGGAAAAATAGTTTTCTCAAAATTATAATCCATTGTTTACCATAGAATTTCATCTTTTCATGGTCTGTCTGAACTGTTCTAGGAAGAATAGGTCAGATTATGCCATGCTTTATCTTATGGTCATCTATATAACCTAACCACCGCTCATTACGCTTGAAATCCCCCCTTTCGCTTTGTAAGTAAGGTGTCGAATTACAGATAAAACCGCAGCAGTTCGGCCTCATAAATATTCAACATTTATTACGCAACCTCGGTCATGTTGATGAATAGTATTGAGGGTAGAGAGGCGGATGTTTAAAAACTGAGGAAATTGCTGAACTGAAAAACGCCATTGCACACCTTGGTACAGTAAATAATATTGCCGGTTGATAATAATTATGAAAATGTATAAATACCAACTACCTTCCATAGGAGATAACCCTACATATCGTGTAACCAAATTAGATTAATAAAAACCTTCATTTATATAATATTTAGAGTGAATTATTTGTAATAATAATTAAAAACCCATGATTGAACGACCTTTTGGTCTTTTCTTTTGTTTGGCATAAATTTATCAACACAAATGAAATCCCTCTCTGTGAGTTTAAAAACTTCTTATTATAAAGGCAATTGTTTTTTTAATTTTATGATATTTTTGATTATATTATTTGATGATCAAATTTATTCGTTTAGTATTTTTTGCATATAATGGCGTTTTTCAAATGTACATTATTAATTCTCTTAAAATATCAAATTTGAAGCAATTCACATAGTATTTATTATTCGTTGGTGCGACCATACAGAAAAATATGTAAACAAATAAAGAAATCTCTCCTTCCTTTTTTCGCCTTTTTCTTGCATTATCTTTACTACACTACTTCACTCTTTCTCATCTCTCTTCCTATGTTTTTCAATTATCTCTCACTCGCTTTCTCTGTCTCTATCTTTCACTACACTACTTCACTCTTTCTCATCTCTCTTCCTATGTTTTTCAATTATCTCTCTCTCACTTTCTCTGTCTCTATCTTTCACTATATTTTTCACTTCTCTTTACATCGGAAGGCGTGGGCGATTGGTCAAACAACTTTACAATACCTTTTACAGATTATTGACATGAAAAATTCCATGTGTTATGCCGAATTTGTACCCAGAGCGTGGCACGTAGAGTTGGACGCCTTTATCACTCGGTCACTGCTCAATACGTATATGGTGTATAATATGTAGTATACTGTAGCACACACATACATAAATTGTTACAGTAAGACCATGTATAAACATAAATATTGAAAAGTATTAAATTAATCCATGTTTATTTTGTTTCAGTGTGCAAATTTGTATGTCATAAAAATTGCGAAGATAAGGTGAGTGAGTTATACTTTTCAGACTTCACCATATCCAATAATTTGTAGTGAATTAATATTACAATATGAATTATTTGATATTATTATATATTATATTACACGGATGACATAAAAAGCATAATTAAATCTATTTGACACATATTTTTGGATGAGTAGACAATATTTAACCTATAAACAAACTTACTATCACAAATTTTTACACAAAAAATAAAGAATATACTAATTCCTTCTCAAATTATATATTTCTCAAATGTATAAAAACGTATAGTTCAAATTTTAATATAAACTAAACCTACCCTTTCAATACATATATGCCCTTACATTGGAATATTGAAACCAAACATTCGATGTGAATTAAACCGAGCACAGATTTTAGCTGCTTGTTAATTTTATATAAACATATATATTTGTTTAAGGATGGAATATATATTTGTTGTAATAATATAACACTTAGTAATATTACCTACCTGCAATCATTAAACCCGAAATTGCACTTATAAAGAAAAATATTAGCGACTAACATCACCCCCGCCGACACAGGCAGCGTTAACATACAGACTAATTAAAAACAATTACAACCATAGCACGAAATAACAGCTACAACACAAACACGATCAACAATATAATAAACAAAACTCACAGACAAAAATATACACTAAACCACCATTCACAAACATACGGAAAAAGTACCAACTATTAAATCTATTAATGTATTAGATCTATTTATAAAATTAAGAATTAAAAAGGACTGAAGATCACGATCGTAAAACTACAAAACCACGAAAGAAATGAAAAAAGACTGTACTACTGACTAAAAAGAATACAAAAATGATCCAACAACAATAAAAAGCACAGCACCCAACTATGACTACGATACATACAAACACGATCAACAAAATATTAAACAAATCAAAACACAAAAACAGACACTATATTAACGAATAAAAACAGCACTAATGACCTCGAACTTAATCGGAAAACTACTAAGACAAAATATTGGCAAAGCCAACTCATCTGACTGCATATACACCATAACATGCAAATACGGAGACAAATATTGGGCTGGTGCAAAAATAATACAGATTTTGAAAAGGCAATCAAAACTATTTTTAATTTTTATAAACTAAAGAAAATTTATTCGGAATATTTTCCATCACATTTTCTGCATCTTTACCAATGTGTAGTAAGCGTTTCTATTCTGCTGACATAAATATCTTTACTTCACAATAATGTCTTTGAAGACGTTTTCGGCGTCACCGCGTTCTCTAAAATTTTTATCCGTCAAGAGCGATCAAAATGCCTAAAAAAGTGGTAGTCTCTTGGCGAGAGGTAGGGTGTGTAAGGAGAGTGCAGTAAGTCCGTAAGTTCCGCAGGGTTGGCATTGCGACATGTGGCCTGGCGTAATCGAGAAGAATCGGCCCATTACGGTTTACCACAAAATGACTGTGTTAACATACAGACTGATTAAAACAATTAAAACCATAGCACGCAATAACAGCTACAAACAAACACAAGCAACAATATAATAAACAAAATCCACACACAAAAATATACACTAATGGATCCCATATGGAAAGAACCGTACAAACTATTAAATCTATTAATGTAGTAAATCTATTAATGTATAAAATTACAAATTAAAAAGGACTGTCGGAAATCACGAGAACACGATCGGAACAGTACAAAAAATTGAGAAAACCACGACAGAAAAATAAAAATACAGTACTTCTGACTAAACAGAAAACAATGCTGGGCAAAGAAGTTGCAGTTTCCCGTGTATGTTGTCAATATTTCTCTGATGTGTTCAGGAAATTATAGTGAACGCCCATTACGCCAGGAGGAAACCACCAAACAGTCACTATAACCTTTTTTTGGGTGCAGATTTGGTTTCGGGGAGGGTTTTAATGCTTTGTTCTTCATCCTTGTCCAACATGGGGAGTCGGTGGCCTCAACGGTATAGACGTTGACAGGCGCTCATCACTGAAAGGTAAAGGTCCCGGGTTCGAATCCAGCGGCCCTGCATTCGAACCCGACATACTTACAAATGGGCTTTTTTTCAAAAAAACAAAAAGGTTTATATGACCTCTGCTGTTGCGAACCCTTGTAAAAAATAAATAAAAAATAATCCTAGTCCAACCAATGACCTGTACTCCTCCTGTTATTGGATATAATCCATTTCTAATCGCTCATGATGATTTGATCGAGAATGAACCATTTTGGTAGTGCAACAAAAGAGATTCCAAAATTGTCGATTTCTTTAGGCTTTTCAAATGATATGTTCAAAACCTCCATTAATTTTGCAGCAACCCAAAGGGGGGTAATAAAAGAAAATAAAAAAAAGTGTAATAAAAGACAGGTAAAAAAATAATTTAAAAAATATTTATTAGATTTGTGTTGTGTTGAGAGTGTCACACCAGACCGCATCTCACGATCTCCAAATAATCATTTATTAGATTGTTTTGGGGCAATGATGAATAATCAAGCTACACGACTCAACTCACAGAAAACCATCACGTCCCCTAAACATAGACACATGCATGAAACTACTACACGACATACAAAAACGACGAAAAATGAACCTACTCGAAAACTTGGAAGCACATTTAACACTAAAAAATAATTCACAAACATCATTTACACCATTCAGAACACTCTAAAAACTTAATCCACTCAAAGCAGCGACAAAGAATACGCAGATACAACCCCCCTCACGATCTTGTAAAAGAGACTTGACCAAATTATCCTGACGACCCAGACCAAGATGGCGAAATGATGAAACGCGTCTGAATGCCCAACACAGTGATGATGGGCAGACCAGGAAGATCGGTAACGACCAAATTACAAATACCTAGTGGTTCGTCGGCGTTGTATCACGATCGTGTTTGCCGAGCCGATTGACGTGCAATAATGAAACGAATTTTCGGTTCGCCCATTCCCGTCATTTCTCACTCGCCAACTGCTACCTCGACTATCTAATTAAGATCAACAGTTTTGATTGTTCGATGTGTACGATTTGTGCGCGTATCCTTTTAAATCCCACTGAATAAAAGTGACTGATCAAAAATGTTGTTTATTAAAAAATGGTTCTGTTTTTGCCCTCCTAAGTCCGGCATTCTTGCGTTCAACATTCGTTACGTTTCAGTCGAACGATTTTCGTATTTCTCGGCTTCGATATTTTTAGTTTTTACGCAAGGCCTGACCACCATAGTGTTCTAACTCTAACAATCTACTTATCATCCCAGCCCGGAGTTACTCCGTTCCCAAGTGGTTGTTGGCTTAGTTTTTATTTTACCAAACTAAATCATAAATCGAATTTCAAACTCCGAAAATAAAACCATATTTTACTACAGTTTTTTTATAGGTCTTAAGTTTTAAAAAAATATGTCAGTTAAGGATAGACATTTTCTTCCAATTTAATCATCTATGTAACTCACAACAACTTTTCATCTCAACTGAAAACCTAAATTAGTTGTAAGTCGTCTATGTTACATTCAAAGCAAATATTTTTCTTTTTTTACAAAAAAATGTTAAACTCGTTTTATAAATTTTAAAAGGATTCTTTTATAAACTATTTCTCCCAGATCTTTTGTACCAAATGATTTTACAAATGAATCCCTCATCGTAGTACTGCTCCCGTAACTAGGAGATAAACATTATTTTTATTTAATTTTTTCTGCGTTATCCGTCCTGAGTTTATTCCTTTCTTTCCTAATACATTGATAAAATGAATCAAATGTAAATATTTTGTATCATCTATTTATAGGGTATTTACAGTGTGTTACTGTGCAGTAGTAAAAAATCTCCTTTATAATTCTGCACCCTGGGGGGAAAACTGGATAAGTCAACTTGTCGCAAAATGAGATAATATATATTGCAGTAAGTCTTTAGGCTTAAATGCTGTATATACTTGATAAAGTCGAGTAGGAAAGCTTTTAAACGCAATGTGACTTTTTTGAAATCTCGAAAAGTTATGTCAACATTGCAATGATTCTACTTGTCTCTGAAAAATGAAATGAAATAAGAAAAGAAATTTATTTTGTATTTACAAAAAGTAAAATACATTTTCCTAAGGGAGCCTAACACAAATTTAAAAAAAAAAGTTCTTATACAACATTGCTATTACACCTTCTGCTGGTAAAGGCTGAAATTCAACTGAGTAGAAAATATAATATACATACAAAAATAATAATAAAAAATCAATTTAAATTAAAACTATTAGCGTTTTAAATATAACATTACTGCTCCACCAGGTCGTTGCGGTACTGCAGTGTACTCTTTGTAAAATCAAGCACAAGTTTGAATTCGTGAAATGAAAGAAACATCAGAAAGAAAATAAAGTTGGGTGAGAAAAGTAATGTGATAAGTAGAAGTTAATAAATTCACGAAAACATCCCACTTCAATAAATCAATAATCGTAATTATAATCAGAAGTCATTTTAACAATCAGAGGGCGTTTATCCTTCCCAAAAATTAATGAAAAACTAAACAAGCATGTCCCATACTCGGAGGCTTCAGACTGTAGGACGACACGACAGTGTAGTTGTCTTTTGTTTATAATTAAGTAGAAATGTTAAAAACATAGAAAAAAATCTTCGGTGCAGGTATATCTGTAATCCGAAGTGACCTTTATTGGACAGAAACTGAATTCTTACCAAAGATCTAAACATTAAATTTGCAATCCTGAAGGCTTGCCAGACCCATTTTGTCTCGAAAGTGAAGAATTAACTCTTTTAATTAACTTTTCACCTTCATTCAAGACAAGATGAAATTTTACATCAAGATTAGATGAAATTTACCTTTTCATACATTACTTTTATGTGCAAACGAAATAATTACGACAACCGGCTCAACCTTTTCCTATCAACGTCTAATTCTATCTAACAACAAGTTCTTAGAGCAAGTGCGCGCATTTATCTTCGATTTCATTTTGTCAACTCCATTTTCACAAAAATTCTTAGCAACCTGGTTAATTGAACATATTAAAACTAACATCCATAATG